GTTATATAACCATTAAATTATACATTATATTTTTCAAATATTATCCTAAAGTAAAAAGTCACTGTTTTAACCTATTTGCAAGTATTGTTTTTACATGACTCGTGCATGTGCAGGTCCACAATAAATTATGTTATTAGGGTATATTGATGACAAAACAAGATAGATTTGTTTGCACAATTTGTTTTAAATTGTATGTAATTCTACAAACGTTTCTTAATGTTACTATTTTTTAACATTATTTGAATTATTCCTTTTATACTTTAATACTCATTACAATTAAACATTTTTAGATAAAAAATGGATGTACTAGAAATATTTTTTGATCACCCATCTGATGAAGATGATGAGGATAACTTCCAACCTCCACGGGAACATCATATAAAGATCCCACATTTTTTTGAAAACATTGTCGTAGCATATTCATTGACAGGTAAAAGAATTTGAAATTTTGCTGTATTATAATAATTTATTGTTTTAAGTTTATATAAATGTTCTTGCATTATATGTTTTGATTACAATAAACTATATTAACCCATACAGCACAGAAGCTTGCAGCAACATTGCTACAGCGTTGCAAGATTACATATTGTAGTGCAATGTTGCAGAGATATTGCAGTATTATTAATTTGCAATATTACTTTAGCAATATTTTAGAAATATCCCTTATAGAAATATCATACTAAGAATCATTGATAATTACTTATTATCCAGTATTTTTAATACTGAAAATAAGTAATTATCAATGATTCTTAGTATGATATTTCTATAAGGGATGACGAATATAATATAATATTTTTTATTTATTTACTAGTTATTTTTGTTACTTATATTTCAAATTCAGTAATATTTCACATCAATAGTGTTTATAGAATAGTACTTAGAATAGTACTTGTTAGTGGTAGTCATTAATACTAGAATTTGTCTTATTATATATTTCTTAAGCTTCTTATACTGTTTTTTCGGAGAAAATACTTTCTTTAGATTTGATATTCGTACTTGTTTAATTTTGTTTTTATTTCATTAAAATATTATATTCTTAAACGAAATATCATTTTTGTAAAATGATAAAAATAAAAACTTTTATTTCATTCAAGGAAATCATGTCATTTGATGAAACAATACTATTGTTTTAAATAGTATTTTATAAAAGTTTCTTTCAAAATTTAGTAATTCGATTCATTTAATTTGGATTTTCTTAGATTTTTTACTTTTTTAATTTGGATTAATCATTATAACATTCTGTTAAAAATCTAAAAGTAATTATATCACTGGTTCATTACATTACATCAATATTCATCGCATATCGATGTTGTTGCGTTGTTTCAATATCTATCAGTAAATTATCCAACGAATACCAAGTAAAAGTTATATAACTATTATTTGATGTTTGTTAGGTATATTATAATATACTGTGAATACTATAAGGATAAATTATATGAACACAAATCGTAAAAATATCGTTGGAGTCATTGGGAATCGCCGCGTGCCGCTCGATCGTTAAGCAACACTTTAACAGAGTCAGGACATAGATGGGTGATCGGTGATATACCGCTTGGGATCGAAATTATCGAGGGAAGATTCACGAAAGTTTTGAGTTGTGTATTGACAATTTTCGATACCTTAGTAGTTTATGAGACATAAGAAAATTAGGAATAATAAATATATTTTTTTAAATATTATAATTTTCTCATTTTTCACATTCGCACAATAATTCTCAGTATTTGATTACTATTAATATTTAATAGTGATTTTATTATCAGTATTCACCAGAAATTAAGTACTGACGAAAAAATTACTGAATTACTGGTAATATATAATCACTAATAATTTTTTAGTATTTATTAGTATGATATTCCTGTAAGAGTGTTATCTGGGATTTTATTTTGTATAATAAAACATATTAATAATATTACATACATATTGCATTGCAATGTTGCTATACAGTTGCGTTGTTATATTGCCGCAAGCGGACATTTTACCGTTGCTGCAATGTTGTAGGAGCATTGCAGCAACATTTTGCAACGTTGTTGCAATGTCACAATATTGCAAAATAATGATGCTGCAATGTTGCTGCAACGCTGCTGTGCTGTATGGGAACATTATTAAAATAGATTTTAAATCTATCTTGTTTTGTTATCAATATACCCTAATGCCATAATTTATTGTGGACTTGCACCTGCACGAGTCATGTAAAAACAATACTTGCAAATAGGTTAAAACAGTGTGACTTTATACTTTAGCATAATATTTGAAAAATATAATATATATTTTAATGCTTTAATTAAGAATAAATAAAATTTTATTAGAAAACAACACCAAATGATTTTATAATTAATAATACAATTTTACAAAATTATTATCTCATGTATTTATCACGGTATTGTTCTGCCTAACTCACTGCTTACAGTCGTGAGACAGCATTATGGCTCCTGCACACAGGACGCGGTAATGCTTGCCGCGCGGCGAAAGTTCGCGCAACAGCCAATCAATATGCTGCTTTCCGTAATAACCTTCTAGCTCTTACGGAAAAATAAGATATTGATTGGCTGTCGCGCGGACTTCCGCCGCGCGACAAGTATTACCGCGTCCTGTGTGCAGTAGCCATTAGGTAGCTTTGGGTTGTTGTGAATCACATAATAATAGTAGATGATGATGTCTAGAACTTATTTCTGCTCTAGGGACTCGGAGAGGTATTATCGGAAACACCCAGTGACGTCTTTAGAACGTTCCTTAGAAGTCTGCTTGCCTGAGATTACTTTAGGATAAATTATGAAGAAATAAAATATTCTATTCATATTAAAATTATAAATCTGCAGAAAATATATATTTCACATATAAAACAATACATAAAATACATGCAATAAATACATAAAATAAACTTACATTTTACTTACTGCATACAATTTATAATGGGTGCTTTCCAGTTGCATATACTGTATTACAGAAAACCAGTTTATTGGTTGCATATTATCTTACAAGATATTTTAAATAATATGTGACCAATAAACTGGTTTTGTGTACGTGTGTGTCAAGATGTGTTAAGCAACTGGAAAGCACCAAATATATTACACTTTAACTTTCTGATGCGTACGTATTTTAAAGGTCATCATACACAAAATTCCGTACGAACTTAAATCGTAAGCGTAAGGAAATCGACCAATCCCAATCGAGTATTCGGCTCTTCGTAATAATGGCTGCGTTCCGAAATTCACTGCCAGTACTGAAATTCTATAATATACGTAACATAAACTATAGATTTTCAGTACTGGCAGTGCATTTCGAAACGCAGCCAATGAAGGGTTACGGAAAGCCGAGTGTTCGATTGGGATTGGTCGATTTCCTTACGCTTACAATTTAAGTTAGTACGGAATTTTGTGTGTGATGGTCTTAACTTTGCAAACTTCGTCGGTATGCTTTCACTGCCTATACGTCATCACGCTTTAATTGGCTTTCGTTGTTCATTTTTAATGGACGTAGGATTCTTATGTAAAATACCAATTGTATAACCATAAAAATTAAAGTCACTATAAAAAATTCTACTCATTTTGTACATAATATGCGAGCGTAGTATTACATTATTTTTCACATTTAAACCATATCGTTTGATGCTTAAAAATTTTCATGGAAACTTACATAATTTACATACAAAGAAGAACATCTACGAGCAAACTGAAAGTTCACGTCAAATATTTCACGTTTTGAGAATTTACCTTTCACAGTTAATGTTCATCTCATTTATTAAATTTACTCATATTATATTATTATATTATATTATAACTATAAATTTAAGTTGTATAATGCTTATTAATGTGTTATATATTACATTGTATTGAAAGATTACGAGTAGGAGCGCCGCGTGGTGGCGCCAGCAGCCGGGAGCTGTAGCGCCCTTCGACTATCGATTACGCGAGCAACCGATATCGATAGTATCGTGGAGAGCGCGCGCAAGTTCGATAGCACAAAAGGCGCAGGATCGGAAACGAGACCGATTCGGGAAACATCGAGAAGCTTCTAGAGATCCGGAAGAAGCTAAAAACCGATTCGAGACGAGAGAAGGACACACTCTCACGGGCGCGGAAAAAACGAAAAGTCGATTGAGAGAGTCGTCGAAAAGTCGATTAAGAGTCGGAAGAATCGTTAGAGAATAGTCGGTATTTCGGTACGAAATCATAGCATAAGTCGCGAGAAACGCTTTATATATTTGTGTAACAGAATAAACGCTTGGTGATTTGTCCAGAGACATTGAAATTATATCCTTATTAATGTTCCCAGAAAGTCCTTAGACCGGCAGTTCGAATCGTTGAAGGTCGTCGGGACGGTTAGGGATATTTACAACGAAGAGAGGAAATCGGGTAGAAATTTAATAGAGAGAATTAGTTTTAGTTAAACCGAAGGAATTTATCTTTCAGTATATACTATAATTACATTTTAATTTTAATAATCTATATTACATAAATATTGCTTTCCACATTTTCATTATTCACTTTTTATATGAAATAACTTATAGTGAAAAGTGAAAAATGAAAATGAAGTTCACGTGAAAGATTCATGATCGCTACCCTGAACTGAACCGGCAGTGAATTTCGGAACGCAGCCATAGTGGAGAGCACACTTGTATGAATATTATATACAGCGGTGTAAATGTAGAGCCACGGTGTAATTATTTGCATTACAAACTATTAACGGCAATGTTAATGTCAATCTAAACGACGTATCTTCTTACAATATGTCTCTATGTTTTCGTGTGCTGCCGGGTAGGCTATCGTCGCTTGTTAGCAATCGCAAATCGTTATCGAAGGTAAATCGTTATCAATTGCGGAAAAACACGTCGTCCGTCTTTTTGAAGCAGGTATATATATATATATATATATATATATATATATATATATAAATTGTAATCTATCAGTCGTTTGCTTGGCAAATCTTGCATAATCCTTATTTTCAAAATATGAAAATTATTAACGAAAATATCCTAACCTCCAAATATCACTCTTACATAATTGTAACTAACTTTCTGTTTCTAACTTTGTTTGACCAGATTAAACAGTCGCTAATTTGAATTCCAATAACAATTCTGTACTGCAGTTTATATATTTGTATGTTTAGGTACAATATGACATTATTGCTACACTGAGATAAACTATTTTTGTAACATTGTAGTTTTTGGACACTCAAGGAATATTCACAAGAGTTTCTACTATAAGCAAAACGCTGGTATCGGATGTAGATTACATATCACATACAAATTTACCACTTACTTCTCTCGACACTTGCAGTCAATGGAATGAAAAATCAGTCAGCTGTCGATTATATCGACATGATAATAATGAACAAAGGAATTTGATGTATTGGTCCCAGATGCGCAGGTTGCAAAGGATGCAAAGGCTCAGTGCTGTCGCTAAAAATAGAAAACACATAGTTCCCATAGGAATTACGTCAAGTGATGTTACAGTGTTTCAGATACAAAGTGTTATAGGCAATGTTAAGAATAATTCATTTTTAGATAATAATAGGGTAGTCGTGCCTATGTTGGAAGATCTTCATGGTAGTTCAGAATTGAACATCAAAAATATCCTATTTACGAATAATGTAATTGCCTTAAAAACAAGTCAGCAGCAATCATCGTCACCGTCATCACAAGATAACGAGGGTAAACCTTCGCAGGAACAACTGCAATATGTACTCGACTGTCTTAGTCAAGATGTATGTTATGATATATGAGGTGTTAGGATTATTGTTCTTTTCTATCATAAATATAAATATTTTTTAAAGTAGAATTGTGTAATTAAGCAGAAAATACAATAATCCTAGAACATTAATACATGTACATGTTGTTACATCAAACAGTTTAGTTCTATTGCATTGTTTGTAGTTACCAAAGTTGTTCATGAAGTCTCAGAATTATTCAATATATACTGAAGATATAATTTTCATCAATAACATAAGAGGAGTAACAACAAAGTAAGTTAAATATGACTTTTTTCTCTTAAATAGTACTGATAAATTTATTGCAGAAATTGCAAGTACTTAAAATTTAGATTTGATTCTGAATAGTAAATGTCATTCTGATCTCTCTCTCTCTCTCACACACACACACACGTTCACAAGTACATGATGTCTCATATTGCTGTATGAAAAATTCCAGTAATTTATCAAGAAATATACAGGGTGTCTCAGACCTCCATGATGACCCTTAGTGAGAACATAGAATGGACTAAGGTAAGCAAGAAAGTCTTGTGCCGTTTTGCGATATTTGCAATAATAGTCGAGATATTAATTAAAAAAGATTGGTGAATGATCACGCGCGATTTGGTAGATGTTGCAGTGGTGCCGTCTGCTGTTGTATACTTATACATTGTTGTATACTTATACATTAAGTCAAACTGAACACAAAAGTCCTCTATCATTTTGCACATGACCATATAGATTTTCAAATATTAACGAAAATTGTTACATATATGATTGTATACCATAATGCACAAATTTTCTTTAATTAATATTAAAAAATCTATGTGGTCATTTACAAAATAGTAAGACTTTTTTGTTTAGTTTGACTTAATGTATAAGTATACAACGGCAGACAACGCCACTGCAGCTCAATTACCATATTGCGCGTGATTATTCACCAATCTTTTTTAATTAATATCTCGACTATTATTGCGAATATCGCAAAACGGCACAGGACTTTCTTGCTCACCTCAATTCGTTCTACATTCTCACAAAGGGTCATTATGAATGTCTAAGACACCCTGTATACAGATTGTCTGACACAAAACACGCCAACATACATGTACAGATAAATTAGGTCAAATTGAACAAAAATTTCTCTACCATTTTTCAAATAACCACAAAATTTTTAGTTATTAACAAAAGAAGATTAGCAAATCAGTGCACGCGATGCTATAAGACAACCTTAACAGATAGGAGTTCATTGAATATAGATGAGACTTGCGACTATTAGTGACACATACGATACGCTCGCGATATGTCAAAAACAATTATGTCCATACTATACGTATCATTATTCCTTTAGTTATCAACTGATAGCCATCGTCGCTAAGTAGCAGTCGCGATCTCAATCATTTTCAATAAGCTCGCGTCTACAAAGCACGTTCCACAGCATACATTGATTCCCTAATCTTTTATTAGTATTTCGAAATTTTATGTGAAAAATGGGTCAAGAATTTTTTGTTCAGTTTGACCTAATCTATTTGTACATGTACGTACATTGTCATGTGCCAGTACTATATATATATATATTTTTTTTTTCTTTTTTTTTTAGATTTATTTAGAAAACCTAAAATTTTATTCAGTATTTAATATGTTTCTGTATATTATTTGTACGTATATAATATTTTGAGAGATATTGTAGGGGACTTATAAGCTATATGAAACAATTAGTATTTCTAAAGGCATTTGGTCACTTAAAATTCGCATATGTCAAGTTCGATATCATAAAGATAACGATGCATACCGAGGATGCTACAGTGAAAGTACGTTGGCGTATACGAGGCCTTTCAGGCATAAAAATGATCAGCGTGTTTTGGAAGTATAAAATTTGGGATATAAAAGAAGCTATAGAAAAGGATGCTGAGATGTAAGTTTACAATTTACTGTTATAAATATATGTAAAATTCTTTTTAGAGAAATTTATTGATCTTCACCAAACGCTAGAAATTTTATTAAGTTGTTGACTCAACACCGTGCAATAATCGTTTAAATAAAAAGATATTACAGAAAATTAAAGAATTTATAATGGTATGACTTTAATCGTACTAATTTATATGTACGTATAATGGTTTTCTTTCTTATATTTTACTATTAATTAGAGTAATATTTTTTACTTCTCATGTTTTTATGGTAACTGTTATGAGTTCAATTAAATTTATGAATATATTTTTGGTTTTGTCTTTAGGGAGAATCGTTTAAACTTTAGGGAGCATCGTTTAAACTTTTATTTGTTTAAACTAAGGTTTATCTCTGAGTTCTAATATTCAATGTCAGTACTGAAAATCTATAGTTTATGTTATGTATATTACAGATTTTTAGTATTGGCAGTGAATATCGGCAGTATATATTATATAGTCTATCTTATAGAAAATAATTATAACAATTTTACAGTTGGTACGATGGTTTTTCTACCTACTACGTAAATGGCGAGGGAAAAGTTTATAAGCATATCGTGGATAAAGTAATACCCGATCAAGATGTAGCAGAGAAAAAAGATGAATTGCGTATTGCACCGAAATTAGCACTATTTACAGGTCTGACGGACGTGTTCAACAATGACGAATATTTTTTCGAGTTGAATACTACATTAAAATTGAATCAGTTAGAATAAACGATTTGGCGAGCACGAGACAGTTTGCAAAATTATTTGAGGAAAAATGGCTTTATTAATAGTCGTATCAATGACTTTTAATTAGTTTTAAATTTATCATTACAGCAAACAAAAGTACGATGGATAGTGTAAAAAATATGTGAATTAAAAAGTGTATATTAAAGTCTTTTTGTATAATTATAAACTATTTGCATCCGTTTGTTTAACAACCAGAATAAATTTACGTAGATGTCTTTAAAGAAATGTCTGTAAAGAAATCTAATGATTATAATATAATTCACAAATGTTACAAAATGCGTATCATATTAATTAGATACCTTTTGTACCTACAAAGTATAATTGTCTTAACATATAATGTAATTAAGTTTCCTATCTTTTCTATAATCGTATGTATACTCTATTATTTATCGTTTATTCAAAGGAGTAAGAATGACATGTCAAAACTGTGATTATAATAGTTTTACATTAATATAAATCTAACAGAAAAAATGTCTACACACTGCGTTACATATCACCATTATAACTAGAGTTATTTATAGAATTTTCAGACTTACGTACATAAAATAAACCAAGTATAAGACCTGAAGTTCATGTAAAAAGAGAAAAGGCGAATGCCATATCTTCGTCTTTCTTTTATTGTGTAATCCAGAGAGAGAGAAAGAGATACGAGGTCTTCGTTTTCAGTTATTTTTTTTTATACGATTTTCGGTACTAAAATTATGGACACGCTCGGCTTATTCTTATCATGTCTATGCTTACACATAAACGTAAAATCGAAATATAAATAACTCGTATAAATAACTCTATAATAGTAAAAAGCATACATAATATAGTGTGTACGATTAAAAAATAATTAAGTCAAAAAAGAAAACTCAGCATTTACATCGATGAATCTCACAATAGATTCCGTATTCAGTAGAAAAATATGCCTTCCAAAAACAAATTTTCCCATTGAATACATATAACATGCTATACACATGTGCACGCGTGCATATGCGTACACGCATATACACACACGCGCGCGCGAGCTCAATGCTCATACACATAGAATACATGGTATATATAATTGAACATCAATTTAATTTTTGTTATAAAATATTTATATAATTTTTTATAAATATAATATAAAAGATGCAGATATTAGTTGCATACGAGACCTGCAAAAAAAATACTATAAGTATTATAAATATATTCTAATACTATAATACTATCTAATCTTATAATACTATAAGTATTATAAATACATTCAGTAAAAAATTGATTTTTCCTAATAATGAATATATTTTGAAATTCTAAAGAAATATTAAAACTAGAGTTTTTTTCGAAGACATTAATAGACGTATTTTTACCGAGATAATCATCCATTAACGTTCCAATAGCGAACTGAAAAAAAAAAATATATATATATAACTATATTAGTAAAAATAGTATATATATTATAAATATTATATTATATTAATATATTATATTATAATATAAATATTATATTATTAATATAATATTTATATTATAATATAAATATTATATTAAAAATAGTATATATATTAGTAACTATATTAGTAAAAAAAAATATATATACAGGGTGTCCCGAAACTACCGGATGTTATTTTAATGGCAGATTCTTTAGAACATTTTAAAACGAAAACTTCCATACAAAAATATCGAGGCTATAATGGTTTTCAAACAGGAAGCGATTATATTTCACCAATAACAGGGCTGAGATTTCGCGCGCTCAGGCACGCCGAAATGACAAGTGATAAAGGTGCCACACGCAGTATAGAATAGTGGATAGCTTCATGGTAATAATTGATCGACACTTTGACAGATTAAGTTGAAATGTCATTTTTACTTGAATCATATTTAAGATATCTTACAACTGTTATTCATATAAAAGATATGCTAATGCAATGTGTAGAGAAGCAGCAAAACATTATGACAATGTTATTGTAAATTTATACAATAATCATGATATCGTAAAAAAAGTGACATTCATAGGAGCAACTTTATCACTTGTCATTTCCACGTGCCTGAGCGCGCGAAATCTCAGTCCTGTTATTGGTAAAATATAATCGCTTCCCGTTTGAAAACTATTATAGCCTCGACATTTTTGTATAAAAGTTTTCGTTTAAAATATTCTAAAGAACCTACCATTAAAATAACATCCGATAGTTTCGGGACACCCTGTATATAACTATTTAGTATATGTATAAATTAATATATATAAAGCATATATAATAGCTATATATTCATTTTTTAATATAATACTAACAATTCCTGTAGCATCAACTCTCGTGCCCACAATTTTTAGCCTGATTTCGTCATCCGCTTGAATAATGACATCCTGAAAGGCAACTTATAAATTTTATTTAAAATTTTTTCATGACATACACATATTTACCTCTTCCTTTGATTTATAACAAGCTGGGTTCACATTTGGACAGAACTGCATATCTTCAGGAATTGACTGTAAAAATTTAAGTTTATAGATTAATTTACATTAGATTATATATAGTTAGTTAAACAATTAATTTACATATACAGTTCTTATTTAATTAACTTAAGAAAAGGTTTTATATTATTAATATGTATTTACTAATGTCAAATAGCAAAGACAGTTTTTTTTAAAGTACTAAAAATCGCACACTCTGACCAATTTTCAGTTGAATACAGTCGATTATTTTAGATAACAAAAATATAACTTAACATTTTATATTTTTGTAACTACACCTCTCTCTCAAATGTAAAAAAATATCTTTATCCCCCTCATAAATCTTAACACTTTTCACATCTTGACTCTCTTCACACTTTTTGTTTCTTCTCCAAAAATTAATTAAAGAATATTGATCTGTGACTATCCATTTGTTCTTTTCTGTTCAAAAAATTTCGTTTTTAATCACTTATAGAAAATATGAGCAATTATGGATATTTTTACATAAAACATTGAATTTGGGATTAATTGAACAATCTACAATTCAAAGTAAGCATACTTAGAAAATTACAAAAAAATTATCATTTTTACGAATTTTGTATGATAAAATAGCAAAAAATAAAAAGTCTACTTTTTATGTATACTTTTAGGTGTCGGAATAATCTTTCGGCAATAACTAAAATACATAATTTCTAGTTCTCAAAACGAGATATATGAAACAATAGTGTATATAAAAATTTCATATTTTATATCCTTCACAATGGCATATTCAGATTTTTTTAAGATTTTAAACTTTCTTATCTCATTCTCTGTCATATTAACTTTGTAAATTGTAACATTTTTAAGGACAAAAATTAAAGAGCAAAATTAGAGGTAATATTATTTATAAAATAATATCTCGTATCTTAATTTTTCTTTTTCTGAGATTTTGAATCATGGCATATTTTTTCTTGTATTCAGAAAGTTCATTAAATGTAAATGGTTGCACTCTGAAATATGCTTATAGTTCTGAAATTTGTAGTTGATCTTACATATATTATAGATTTTTAATACAAATGTGAATAATTATTCATTTTTCAAGCATATCATTGAAATTATTTCAAATGTATTAAAAATTTCACTTCAATTTTGCAAATCTACTATTTTCATTCATTTGTTCTTCCTAGTAAGTGTATACAGTTTTCTAAATTTATAATTCCATATTTGAAACTTTGATGTCTTTGCAAAATCTAAATACACTACTAGAAAAATTATAAAATACAATAAAACTTTGTGTATAAAATATATTTCCATTTATTCTCTAGTTTTAATATATTTAATAGTTTTAATTGAAAATTAAGTTAAAATACCTTTAGTAATTTCCTTCTTAATAAGAGATATAATTGCTTACATGATGAGATATGAAGCATGAAAGTGGTCCTATTTCAGCAAACATCCCGACCTATAAAAGTAAAGTATAAACAAAATATTCAGATATAATTTGATAATTAATTTTATTAGTCTAATCTAAATAGATTATTAGAATAAATAATTGAATAAGTAAGATTGTAATGCTTTCACAAATATTATACCTTATTTACTTGAGTAACAATTGCATCCAATACTTCACCCTTAAATGGTCTGAATACAATAGCTTTATATTTTACTGGGTAAATTACAAAGCCTTGTCCAGGTTGTATAATACCAGCTCCTATATTATCAATTGTCGTAACAGCGACGACAAAACCATATCTAAACCATTGTACAGTTAGAACTAAAACTTATAATGTTAAAGCTTAAAATAAATACTCACTTTCCTGTGCAAGTACCTTCTACTTCAGTATAAAGTTTCTGTTTTACTGTATCTAGTAATTGAGGACCAAAATATCGGGGATGCAACAAAATCTCGTGCTCCAATGAAATCTGCTCATTTGTAACATTAAATAAGAAATAATTTTTTATGTTTGCCTTTCAATTTTTATCATATTTTCAATTATATCAAATTGTTATAATTTTATATTAATAATAAAATTTAAATCGCTTTAGTATATTCACGAAAATAAAGATTGAATAAAGGTTAATTTCCTTATACTAAAATTAATGTAAAAAAAGCGTAAAAATTATTTACGTGGTAAAACATGATGTATATGTATTAGTTGGAAAAAATATATGATTAGTATCTATACTAGAAGATTTTAGGTAAATCGGACAATCTTTCAACACAGACTTCTCTATATATAAACTAGATTACTAATCCCGTATTTAGCGAGTGGTTGGAAAAATATCGGGCGGCCATCTTTAGGTGCGTTCAGATTCCCTACTCGAGTGCACTCTGTTACTAGAAACACTGTGTGCTTTCCAGTTGCGTACACTCCGTTACACAAAACCAGTTTATTGGTTGTATATTATCTTACAAGATATTTTAGATAATATGTAACCAATAAACTGGTTTTGTGTACGAGTGTGCCAAGATGGTTAAGCAATTGGAAAGCACCCACTATAGCCCATATTGTCCTGAGGTTTGTTCGAGTTGCTTGTACTTTTCACACTTTTACACCTAGTGTCCGTTGGGTGTATATCAGTTGGACACGGGGCAATTGGACACAGTCCAATCACAAGTCGCTGTTCCAAGGGACCCTACAAATGTCTCTAATCATACGGTGCTGTGATTGGCTGTGTCCAAAGCACCGTGTCCAAGTGCACCGCTCCCTTATCGGAATTACTGCGCGGGAGTACCTTACATTGGTACAGGAACAACAAGAAGGTGTGGAAAGAGTGGAATGACTTCACGAACGCATTTCGGGAACAGTATTTCCCATATAGATCCGCTCCCGTGTCCGTTGCATACTAGTGCACTCCAAACAACACAAATTTTCAAAAATATATTCTGAATACGTTTTCAAGATGGAGGGATGTCATCAGAATATTTTTAGGACGTCCTTTGAAAATGTGAGCTGTCTGAAAATAGCTAATATCCAATAAGTTTATTCGCATTAATTGAACTTTTTACACTTTCACACTTAGTGCACATTAATTCTTTATGGCTCCTGCACACAGGACGCGGTAATGCTTGCCGCGCGGCGGAAGTCCGCGCGACAGCCAATCAATATGTTGTTTTTCCGTAGGAGCTAGAAGGTTATTACGGAATCATCAGAATATTCTTAGGACGTATTTGTATGTACTTGGCCGGAAAAAAAACTTTGGTTGGAAAACTATTCTTTTAAATTATTTGTATTTCGTATGAAGAGTTTTGAAGTACAATTGAAAAGATTTGTGAATCATTCTATTACTTGTAATTAATTGTTCTTTTTTGGACCATGTATTTAGCCGGAAATAATAACCGGTAAATTAAACAAAGATTCGGTATGGTATCGTTTGTATTTCGTATGAAGAGTTAAGAAGTATCATTAAAAAGGTTTGTGAGTCATCCAGATAATTTTAATTAAATGTTAAAAAATCATATATTTCACCGAAATATCGATCTCAAGCGCTGCTGTGGAAGTACCGTCAGGCACGATCGGTGTACTATCTAGTATTTCAATACTCATGGTTCATTTTCGGGTAATTATGTATAATAATCGCTCCTGCACAAAGGACGCGGTAATGCTTGCCGCGCGGCAGAAGTTTGTGCGACAGCCAATCAATATGCTGCTTTCCGTAATAACCTTCTAGCTCTTACGGAAAAACAACATATTGATTGGCTGTCGCACAAACTTCTGCCGCGCGGCAAGCATTACCGCGTCCTGTGTGCAGGAGCCATAAGGCCTTTTTCGAATTTTGATATTTTTTTGCAGCTCTTTTGTTAAAAATATTTATTTTGACTCCAACATTGATAATTGTTCGGGATTCGAAACAGATGAGCTTCAAAGATAATATTTCAGTCAATTCAGTAAATTCAATAATATTTCAGGAAATATAAGTGACACATAACATCTGTTCCGAAACTTGAGCATATTTATTCGCAAGTGATATCGAGCAAGGACACATAAACAAGCGGGTCCGTGGCGCGTGCCGTATAATCAGTTCGCCACGTCGAAGTAATCTTTGACGTTGACATAGCAACCGCGGCCTAAACAACAATTCCACGAATCATCAGCCGGCACGCGCCGCGGATCCTCGCATCTCAACGCTTTATCTCCTTTTAAGGAGATCAAGTAATATGTCAATTTAACGATCATCTCAACGCCAATCCACGCGCGACAGAACACAACCCAACGGGTATATTAGACACCGTTCGCGGCAACTACGGTCACTTCTTCTTCTTCGCACTAGTTTTCAGCTTCAGCGCATCTAGAGCCATCGTGGTCCTCGAGTCATCAGTTTCTTTTATCGTCATTCTAATTTGCTCGGGTGACTCTCAATTGCTTCATGTGAAGCAAATTACGAACGTAAAATCGAAGCCTGCCGTTCGCGAGGCTCTCACCGTTTAACAGTGTGTTCTCTCGCGCGACTGATTACGCTCGGTTTCTGATCCACGCGAAATCACGTCCGGACTCAGCTCCCAGACCTTTCGCGACTATCTGGGATTTAGGAGCAATTTATTGTAATTTTTGGAACTGGTTGCGTCAGATTTAAATCAAGCTTCGACAACAATCTGCGAGTCACAATCCGAGGTCACCGCGCTTGAAGATCTCCGTCGTCCGCGGCAAGATTTCCGACGCGTACTCCTCTTCAACAAGTTATCCGTCGCGATTGTTGTGATCGGCTGATCGATTGTGAGAAGATTTCCGTTTTCAACCAAGTCAAGCATGAAATCAACACGACTAACAGATCACATGTGCTACCAGAATAAAGTTTTGTTAATACGAAGTCTAGGTTGCTTTACTTTGGCATTACATCAATTCGTCTCCCGTTCCTCACGTCACCGGGTCTCGTGCGAGGCCGTACCGGCAATCAGAAATTGCGCGGAATAACGCCGCAATTCTGATATAATACAATAACCAATCGGGGGAGTCCGAAAAATATGCAAGTTATATATTGTTTTAACTTTTTTTAATTTTTTTTTACATGTCAAACGTTGCTGTTTTCCCACAATTTAAACAAGTTACTGATCTTTTAATCACATTATGTAACTGCAATATCGAACGACTAGCGGGGGGCTGTGCCCCCGCACCCCCCCTCAAAACTAACCTACCTATCGTCACATTAACCGTCAGTCATTATTTATTAAAGTGTTCAACTTTTATGTTAATGTGACGATAGGTTAGGTTGGGTTAGTTTTGAGGGAGGGTGCGGGGGGCGCAGCCCCCCGCTAGTCATTCGATATTGCAGTTATTATTCGATATTGCTCGTTAACAGTACACAGTATCGTTTTTGTACATACAGTATCCAAAAATTATACTCATTTTGTGCAACTTCTTTTGTTAATAACTTTTTAACGAACAACGAGCGACGGCTAAAACCTTCTGAGAGTTACTCAGGAGGGTGACCTCTACAATATATGTCAAGGTCAAGGTCATTGGAACTGATTCTTCTATAGTCTATAATAACCGAAACTTCTTTT